TGAATTTGAAAAACACGTCGATGTCTTCGTGTTTTGTGATAAAGGTTGTATCCCATATGTTAATCTCACTGTTAGGGAATTGAGATACATTATGAAGGAGGTAATATACTGTCAAATATATATTCATTGTATCGAACCTAACATCTTATTTCAACAAGTTGTAACTCCCTTTTCTATTTGCTGATCTAGGTTGGCGAGGATAACCCAAAAATATATCCAATACACCTGGACAAGCTTTTGGATCAAAATCTTGCATTTAGAATCAAGTATAGTCTTTTGTATGGACAATTCTCTGTTGTAACAATATTAAATTAGCCAGATCTTTATGATACCTGCTATGTAATTCTTCATCCAAATGAAGTTTATATTATTTGATAACTAAACTTTTAATTTTGTTTTACTTTTGCTACTATAAAATGTATAAATCATTATGTGATGCAATTACTCGCAATTTTGAGATATGCTTTTTGCATCATACTTCAAAGGTTGTCTTACCTCCAAACAACGATGTTGACACGGATTCTCATTATGAACCTATTGTGAGTGTGAGTTCTATGTCTTGTGTAAACTACTCTTTAATAACATGATGAACCTATTGTGTTTTATGATGGAATTGATACTCTTAATGAACCACTTGTGTTTTGTAGGAAATCAAAACACATAATCAATTTGCTACTGCCCTCCCACAAGCTTATGCAACTGGTGATTGTAATCCGTCGACTTGTTCTAGCAACACCCCTGTTAAGAGGGTTGCACTCCTAATTTCTCTGGATGAGACATCTCAAGATAAAGTTGTTACACCAATGCATTCTTCAACCAAGGTCAAACACATCAAGAAGGAGTAATCGTACATGACAAGGATAGTTTTTAGTCGCACTTTGATGTTTTGTTTAAGTTTTAGTAGATTGTAATGAAAACTGTTGTAATGTTACTTATTTTCTGCACTTTAATGTTTTGGTAAAATACTCGTACATTATTGTACTTTTGTGTTTATTTCTATTTTGATGTAGCATTATTGAACATCCAGCCTGTTGTGACATGGAAATGATGACGACAACGTCTTTGTAATGTAAAAAAATATGCATCACTACTGCATTAACAAATACGCAACAGTCAACATTTGGTTCTACATTATATGTTAGGTACTGCATTATCAAAAGCAAATGCAGTACTCCCGCGTTAACAATTCACATTATGCCTTGCATGGCCTAATGAATCTAATCTTAAATCATGTGTATATAAATTAAGTATTACTGAGAATCACTTGTCTGCAACTTTATGTATTTGTCAATGTCACAAAACATGGATTATCAACACAGTTACTTGATAAATTTGTCAAATTTATATATGGGGCTGACAACCACATGTTACATGAAATGCAAGAAAGCATCTAAGTTTCCATATTAAGTGACAGTTTGAAAACCATACAACTTCCATGAATTCATGGGTAGTTGAACCATAGCAAAATGGGATATTGTAAGTGATGGTAAGATAGAAAAAAAATAGGGATATTGTAATGTAACGTGTTGCGAATTAGTACCGTTTAATGTTTGTTAATCAATTATACAGGGGTGAGGCCTCTATTTTAAAAGACTATTTTAATCCTTACTTTAAGTGTATAATATAATTATGAAGATATGAAAAATTATTGAAACTTAAAAACTAGCATTTTTGGAACCTTATTGGATTCCCTAGCAGTCATATTTATTTATTTTTGGAATAAAACACATATACTGAAAAATCAAAATAAGAATGTCTTCTAAGTTCTAACCACACCTCTTCAGTATTAGAATTAAGATGTTTATCAATCTGATTGGCTAATGCCTTAATAATTCTTCTTTTCAAACTTCTTCTTGGTGCATTAAAATAAACTATGACACTGTAGGCATATTAGTTACTATACTCATACAACTTTTTCTTGGTGCATTAAAATCTAACATTGTTAAATACATTACATATGGTTTAAAGTTTCAGTTCTCAATTTTGGTATCAACTTAATACTCTTTATTAACTATAAGTAATAGACATCAAACAATGTCATGTCATGCCGAGCCTACAATGCTTTACGATATAGTTTTCCACTTTTTATGTTTCTGGAAAACGACATCCGTGAGAGGGGGCTTTCTTCACTATGTAAACAACACTATAGTATTTTAGTAATCCAATCTGCAGCTAGCTGGTATTTAGATTTTTTGTCTCATGTGCAATCCATTTCACACATTAATTAACCTGTTAAATATCAACCAAAAAATTGTCAGGTTGGCTTACTCATTCTTTTTGGAGAAATTATCAACACAGCAAGTTAACTCAGCATTTTTGGTTGTCATTCGGCCTGCTGCATTTTATTGATATTCTCAATTGTACCATGAAATTAGTAGGTTCTTTATCTAAATTTGAACAAACTTTTCTCCTACACTACCTATGAAAACCAACCATGATATTATCAAACTAAGATCATACACTGTTATATTATTATTTTCATCTTACATTTCATCATTACCAACTGTCCAAACATGACTTCTGCTAACCTTAATTGAAACACTAAATTTATATGTATCATGTTATGTAATAAACATTAACCATTCAATTTTGAATCTGGTGAGATATTTCAAAACCATTGAGAACTAAATTAGATAAGGCTAATTAAATGGTTAACTACTGTGACCCCAAACTAAAGATATTTAAGTACATTTGTTTTATTAACTGTAGTAATGTTTAATTAAAACACCCACAACATTACTTATATGGAAAATAAACTAAAAGGTTTTGGTAACAACAAAATTATTTCCAAGATATTGTTAAACTGTCCTAAACCTTAACCATCCATTGTTACAGCACTTCAAAAACCAGTTTGAATAGAAAAATATGTGAGCTCCATTCATTTCATAAAGTGGACTTTCAAAGGTTATATTGCTGTAAGTTTCTTGGTTCAGTGTGTTGTGGATGGTTTTCATTTTATAGTGTTTCAAATACGAACGCTAATTAACCATTTGGCTCAGAGTTTCATGAATGCTTAGGGTTTCATGAAATATTAAACATTCATGTGGCTTCCTTACCAATTATTAATGCATACACCATAGCATAGACTTAGCATTCATACCCTAAACCCTAAACCCTAAACCACTGGGGTGGCGATATGACCATTGCAAAAGTCTTGCTGATATTTTAAGGTTTGCAAAACATGTTGATTTTGCACTTAAGTTTTGTTCATAACTATGATATTATTCATACGTTGGAAATTTTGGATAAGTTCTTTTTAATTGCAATGCAATTTATTTTTCTTTGAATTACTATTTTATTGGTGTAATGATTTTTATATATACCAAAAAAAAATTATCTCTATTATAACATGTTAGTTTTACCCGTGCGGGAGCACCGGTATTTTACTAGTTTCCAAGATAACATCTTAACATTCCAAACGATATCGTTAACGTTTATACTACCATTGTTGAAGATTATTTTGTTTCTACTATTCCGTAAACTCCACACAACTGCAAACCAAATTGATCCTCTCTTCCGCTTCAACCCGGAACCGTTAGCTGCAACATACCAGACCTCAAAGAAAGACCTTCAACAATCAATGTATCATCCACAAATGAATGATCTCCACAGAAACTTTATCCTTCACCTTGAATCCATAAAAATCACCTTTCAACGCAGCCTTAGAAACTAAAGCAGATAAACCTTTCGCAGTTATGATAAAGAGAAAAGAAGAGAGCGGATCCCCTTGACGCAACCCCCTTTCAACCTGAAAATCCGTATTTGTACTGACATTGACAAGAATCGATAAATGACAGTTAAATATGCAAGCTTCCATCCAGCTTAACCAACATTTACCAAAGCCCATTCTCGACATCTTAAGCCGTAGATAATTCCAACTAACGCAATCATAAGCTTTTTTGAAATCGACTTTAAACAAAACACACTTCTTATTATCTCTGGTGGCAGAATATATTATCTCATTAGCAATTAAAACACCATCCGATAATTGTCTCCCCAGAACAAAAGCAGATTAACAAACATAGATTAAACCGTTCAAAACTTTTTTCAACCTAGAGGCAAGCAATTTAGATAAAATTTTGTAGAGACTACTAACTAGGAAAATCAGACTATATTCTTCTAACTTACCAGGCTGAGGTACCTTGGGAATAAGAGTTAAAAAAAACATAGGTTATCACCTTCGGCAGTCTAGCACTCACATGAAAGTTTTTCAGGAACTTTATAATGTCATGTTTTAGAATATCCCAACAACCTTTTATGAATACAAAATTGAAGTCGTCAGGTCCCGGGCTTTTAGAACCTTCGCAGCTCCAAACTGCATCCTTTATTTCTTCATCTAAAAAAGGGGCCTCCAAATAACTAACTTCTTCCACCTTTAGAGATTTGAAGTTGAACTCATCCAAAGCAGGTCTGTTATGGTCTAATTCCAAGAATTTATTATAAAAGAAATCCTTCATTACTGTCTTGACTTCATCCACAGATTTCACCTTCCCGTTGACTGTTTCAACATAGCCTATATATCGTTTTCTTTCTCTACCCTTCATAATGTTGTGAAAATATTTAGAGTTATTATCTTCATCCTTGTTCCATTTCACTTAAGCCTTTTGAAAGATCATGTTATCCTTTATATGAATATTCATCCACATATTCTTAGAAGTTCTCGACCTGGCATCAACCAGACCCCTGACTTCTTCATTACTACAAACTTGAAGCAAGGCATCAACTTCATTAATCTCATCCACTGCAGCTTCCACTTTCAAGTCGCGTCATCCAAACACATCCTGATTCCAGATCCTAAGTCTATCTATTAGTATCTTAAATTTCTCTTTGATTATAAAATCACTCTTGCCAACAATCTTAATATTTTTCCAAACTTTCTCCAGAAACGAATAGAATTCCTTATTGTCAAACTAGCTATCATTCGATTTAAAAGGTTTTGGACCCCATTCGACACGTGAAACTTTTAACTAGATAGGACAATGATCGGATACATCTCTTCTTCAAATGGTTTGACCAACAACTCCCCAATTATTACAAATTTCCTCAGAAATCAGAAAGCGATCGATTATGCTCATATCTTTTCCATCACCACTGTACCAACTAAACTTATTTCCAAAATAAGGAAGATCTACCAAGTCCATAGCTTTGATAAACTCACTAAATTCCCTCTGCTCAACCTTTCTATAATTATCATTAATACCCTTACTCTTAGAAGAAGAGGTGGCAACATTAAAATCACCTCCTAAAACCCAAAGACCATCAGACAGATTTCCTTTCAGAACTACCAAATCATTCCACAGTTTTCTTTTGAGATTAATACTACAAGGCGAGTAGATATTAACCATATAATAAAGATTCCTTTTCCAAAGAACTTTCACTCCTAGGAACCCATCCCCTCTAAAAGACAACAAAGGATTGATAACCTCCTTCTTCCACAAAATGATCAAACCTCCAGACAACCCCGACATATTACAGGAAGCCCAATCAATATCTTGACCAGACCATATACCACCTATGACTGAAGGATCTGCAACTTTCAATTTGGACTCTTGAATAAAGAAAATATTAGTGTTACTTGATTTAATGCAACAGCTAATCCTCTTCCTTTTTGAAGTGTTTCCTCCTCCCCGAATGTTCAAAGAACCAATTATCATTGAACACCATTAGAAATCTCCTTTGATTTCAAAAATATCGCTTTATCATTTGCCTTCATTCCCGCAATTTTCTTCGAATAACCTTTGTTCTTGTCTTTACTAATCACCCCCAAATTTGAAATTGCATTCCACACCTTACCTTCGATGTTAGATTTGTGATTGTCCCAAAATATGAAATTACCTTGGTTCACATCTGAATCTGTAGTGGAGTTACAACACAACACCATGCCAGCTGAAAAACTGCTCAAACTCTTATCACTAGGAGATTTATGGTTGCCATCCGACCTACTGTTCCTGGTAATGGAATCCAAAAAATTAACTTTTTTTTGAAGAATGTTAAAATAAGATGGCTGCGAGAAAGACTCTATCGAATCCTCAATCTTTGTTGACTTCTTAGGAACTAAGTCCAAAACTCTCTTGGTGGTCTTAGAACATTTTCTGCCCAACGACCCAATAACCCCTTTAGCAGATCTCAACTTCACTTTTTTTTTATTGAGTAACTTGAGCTTGGGAATAATTTTGTGCAACCCTTGGTCCTGATTGTGAGTTTCCAAGATTCCTATGGTCCCACCTGAATCATTAAAAGTATCCTTCTGACTTTCCCCAAAGTTTGTCATAGCCGCCTTTGTAGCTACAATAGTTGCGTCAAAGTCTATTAACCTTAACAGGCTATCCTGATTAGACAAGACCTTACGTTGTGTCTCGAGGCCAAGTCTAGAGGCTAGATGTTCTTCCAATCCCACTTCTTCTTCCAATGCAACCACCACGTATAAGCAGCTCCTGCTGACTGATGGTGGACTGAGATCCTCGACCGAGTCCTCCTTCCTAAAAACCTCCTCAAGTCTACGCCTCTTGGCATTAGCTCCTTTTCTATCCTCTTCCAAGGTTGCAAGCGCTTCATATAGTTTACAGTCACTATATCTCCTGAGCGAAGCTTCCTTTGAAATCTCCTCATCTTTAGCTCTGAGCTGACCCTTCAGCTTGCTAATCTGCAACTTCAACTGGTCTTCACGCTCCTTGTTGTTGGACATGGCAGCGTTTAATTGAGCCTCAAACTTGGAAATTCGCAAGTAGGCTCTATTCAGATCTTGCTTTTTAGTAGCAAGAACACTACTAACAACATTTATGTATAAACCCAAACGCTCTCTACCGCTCATCTCCTTAGTTAAGTTCGTACCCAACTTGTTCACCAGTTCATTTTGCTTCCTCAAAGAATAAGTTGCTTCATTCCTCTCACTTCTGAGTTGAGCAATCTCCTTCTCCAACTCTTTGTTTGCCTTATGCAACTCTTCTTTTTCTCAACATACCGGATTATACCTTTGGATGTCTATAGTGGTAGGCTCCTCAATCACGGGAGGGCAAACAGGTTCCACCGGAGGAAATGGCATCAAGAACTTTGTGGCCATCTCATGAATCCAAGCCACGTAGGGGTCGTAGGCCTGACTGTTGCTCTTCCCCAACAAGGCTTTGCCTCTCCTACGGATTCTTCTCCAAGCACGTTCAAGTCTGATTAAATCATCACCCTCTAACAAACCCGTGAGATACAGAGATTCCTGTATCTCCTCTTTCTTTAGAGCGTCCCTGAGAGCATATCCAAATTATCATACCAACAGAGAAGGGTTATAGTTGACGCACCCTTTCCTTCCGACCAAAGGGACGTTAGGAAATCCTCCACAACTATAAACAATGTCTGTGCCAAGCATGTCCCTATCAAACCAAAGAATATCCTTGGCAGTCAGACCCATCATCCTCTCAGACCACTCTGAAGTAGCAACAATGTCTACAAACTGACCGGTCTTAGACATATGACTCATCAACCATCTATAAAGCAAAGGAACACAACACAAGACATTCTTCCCCCTTCTGTTTTTATTCTTGTGGTGCACAGAATGATAGACATCTCCTAAGAGTGTAGGGACCGAGTTCCCTGAGGCCAGTAGGTAGAAAGCATCCACATCTACAAAGTCCGGCAGATTCGAAAACAAAATAATACCATAAATGCAAAGTTTCAGAATAGCACTAAACACAATCCAACAACCATTTTTGGCGAACTTCTGAGCTTTCTCAACAAGAAAAGGTAACAGAAAGCCATAAGTTCATTTCCTCTCAACTAACTTCCCCTTTAACTCTGCAGCGTCCAAATGTAATATAGCAGCAAGCCTAGCCAGATCAGGCTCAGCATTTGTATGGACGAACGACATCTTATCAAGGACAGGTGTAACGCCCATTTTAATTATTTCATTTTTTTGTGTATTTTCTTTATGGTGTGCCTTTTGTGTTAAGGGTGTGGTTGAGTGCGATAACGTGTATCCCTTAAGTTGGAATTAATTAATAATTTTGGACTTTGGTATTAATAATAATATTTAGTGATGATAATTTAATTAATAATGGTAATATTATTATTAATATTATTATTATTAGTAGTATTATTATTTATAATATTATTATTATTATTATTATTATTAAGTAAATAAAAAGGGATGGAATAAAAAGAATTGGGATAAAGGGCTGTTTGGGAAAGAATTAAAAAGGGAAAGAGGAGAAAACACGTTGGAAGAGAAGAGAAGAGAAACACGATCAAGAAAAATTTGGAGAAGAAGAGCAAGGTGAATCGGAGCAAGAGGAAGCTAGTATTCATCGTTTCAGCAAGAGTTTTATCAGGTTGTTCGAGTTATCGAGGTAAGGGGGGGGGGGAATCGGGTCGAATGGTATGTTGCATGAATACTAGGTAGAAGGGGATTTCCCTAACCCCATTAGGTTGTGATGATTTTTGTTGGTATGTGTTGGAAATTCTGAGTTGTTGATGATATGTTGAATCTGTTGTATGTGATGTAGAGAGATCGTTTGGTGATTTGGGGATTTCGGGTAATTGTCGTGTATATGCTGGAACTGAATTAAGTGAGTAGAGCTGACATTTAATCGGGTTAAATTGAGAATAGATTATGTAGTTAGGTTATAAAATATTGATCTGATATGATGGGGACTGGTTTGAGTAGAATCGGCTGAGTTCGGAGAGTTTTGCCGACTCTGAGCAGTGGAATTTTTTCTGAATTCGCAGGCGTTCGCCAGCACCTTCGCTGAGCGAACTGGGGCGAACTGGGCAGCGAGTGCTTCCAGTAGCCACTGTCTGCATTCGCTAGGGAGTTTGCTGGGCGAGCTAGTAGCGAGTCTTCACTGGGGGATTCGCCGAGCGAACGGGTAGCGAGCATTTGTTGCGGGGCCTCGCCAGGCGAATGAGCCAACGAGCGTGACAGTATGTTTTTGTTTTGAGTTGTGCTGTTCGGTTCTCTCGTGATTGTTGGACCCTTGTTGGTCATGGTTGATTATGATATTGATATTGAACTATGGGGAGTATATGTGTGGTGTGGAATATGATTTCCTTGATATTCGTTTAATTTGAATGATTGAATTCGGTGTATGTGATTGCGTAGGAATGTGGTGATGTGTGATATATATATATATATATATATATATATATATATATATATATATATATATATATATATATATATATATATATATATATATATATATATATATATATATATATATATATATATATATATATATATATATATATATATATATATATATATATATATATATATATATATATATATATATATATATATATATATATATATATATATATATATATATATATATACACATATATATACATATATATATACATATATATATACACATATATATACATATATATATATATATATATATACATATATATATATATATATATATATATATATATATATATATATATATATATATATACATATATATATATATATATACATATATATATATATATATATATATATATATATATATATATATATATATATATATATACATATATATATATATACATATATATATATATATATATATATATATATATATATATATATATATATATATATATATATATATATATATATATATATATATATATATATATATATATATATATATATATATATATATATATATATATATATATATATATATATATATATATATATATATATATATATATATATATATATATATATATATATACACACGAGGTATGATGAAATATGATCGAATGGATCGTGGGCACCTTGTGTGTGCGTGAATTGTTATTGTGCATTAGTGTATGCATATCATGATGCATGTTTGGGATCAGATGGAGTGTGGTAGGGATAGATCATTGCTCAGATGGAGTGTATGCGATCTATCCTGAGTTTATTTGCCCGTACTCCGAAGGAGAGGGGGTGGTAGGAATAAATCATTGCTCGGTGGAGTGTATGTGATCTATTCTGAGTTGATTGGGATAGATCATTGCCCGGGGGAGTGTATGTGATCTATTCCGGGTTATTTGCCCGTACTCCGTGAGGAGCTTTGTGGGATAGATCGTTGTCACTGGTGGGTGTATGTGATATATCCGGGTTCGAGTGAGTGAACCAGTGAGTCGGTACCACATATCATGGGTTGAGTTGTATGTGTTGCATTGCCTTATATGTTATGTTGGTGTGGGACAGTAGGTCCGGGTCGATGTATGTGAATGATAGTTGTGTGATTTACTGCTTTTTATTCATGTACATTATTACCGTTATATTTTGATCTTGATTTCTCACCCCTTGTTGTTGTTGTTGTTGTGGTCTGTGCTTCTTCGGGAGTACAGATAATCCAGGTGCGTAGCTAGCTTGGATTGTGGCGTGTCGAGTCGTAGGGATGCTCTGATACGTAACACCAGGGCTTTGGGGTGTTATTGTGTTATCTGATGATTTTGTGTGCCCCTGTGGCGTATCGTGTCTGATGAATCCTTTTGGTGGATATGTTTGTATATTTTGACTTGACCGATTATGGTGTGTATGATGTATATATGTATCTACGTGACGAATTCCGTTGTATATTTTTGAAAAAGTATTCAATAAAGTATTTTGTGGAGTTTTCATCTGTGACATCCCGTTTGGTGTGCTAACTCTGATATT